CCAACAACTCTCTCTCCGTCATGCCAGTGACGAGGGAGCCGTACGTAGTCGCAGGGCGCACTCCAGATATATATATCTTGTGAAGTCTGGCCTTGCCAACAGAGAGCCGTCGTCGTAGCGAACGCAGGAAGCCAACACGTCTCTTCATAGCTCGAAACCGTTTCTTCATCCGACACGTAGCGCCAGGCGCAGCACGAGGACGAGCAGGAGCAAAGTCAGCACCGAGCGCAGTGGCAGAGGTCGTAGCAGCCGCTGAGCGAGCACCGATACGAGCAAGCCGTCGATCGAGGTCACGAACGACATCATGGGAAGACCCAAAGACCACCGCCTTGTCGTGGGCGAGGCCAACCTGGAGCTCCTCCCTATAAACGGTGACGAGGTCCTGGGCGGCCTCCACGAGGGCTGGTACGAGGTCTTGTCGGGGGCCCGTCATGGAAACGCAGTCGTCATCAACGTACACGCCGAGGTCCAAGCGGGGGTGCCGCGCCACGAAACCATCTAGGGCCCCGAGGAGGTAGATCTGCACGAAGGCGTCATTGAACACGTCGCCAGCTGGCAACCCAGAGCGGGCAAACTGCACAAGAGGACAGTGATGGGCTCCCAGTCGAACCAGGCGGGGCCCCCTCCAGAAGTTGAACAGGACCTTGACTAGGGGCCGCGGGAGCCCGCACGCCAGCGCACGATCACGCAGGAGCTCCAAGTTAAACGACTCATAGAACTTGAGGCCATCCCACAGAAACCCCGCCGTCTCTTGGTCGATAGCCTGGCCACGTTCAGCGCGGACCGCCGCAAGCCACACTGCCTCCTCAGCTCCCCTGCCTTTTCCAAAGGACCAGTACTTGCGGGAGGACGCTTCCAGGAAGGGCTCCACAAGAGGGCGGCGTGCCTTTTCCCACACTCGCACAAAGGACGCGACGAGCAAAATTGGGCGGTAGCCGCCTTGCGGCTTCTCAAGCAGTGGAAAGAGGAGCCAGAGGAGCTGGGCAGGAAACAAGCCGAGGCGCTCCGAGCACGTGAAAATAATACTGAGCTGCACGAGCGCTGTGTCGCTGAGCATCTCGACATGCCGTGGGTGAAAACCGTCTAGGCTTTGGGCCGTGGATTCCGAGAAAGTCCGAGCCGCCGCACGCAACTGCACACACGTGAGAGCGTCCAGAGCCTCGCGATCGGGAATCCACGCCTCAGGAGGCTCCACCTCCGCATGCCAAAAACCTCCGAGCTTCACGGTCTCCTCCTGTACTAACTGACACGGCTCAGACGTAAACGACCCAGGGACCGAGGAGGAGACCGTGGGCTCCCACAGCTTCTTGATGCGGGTCAGGCGATGCATGCGCCTGGCCGAGCCGCTGAGCGCCAAGATGTGCCACTCCTTCCAGGAGCGGTCTCTGGCTTTGGAGTGCTCCGCCTGGACTTCATCACATTCCGTGGCGAGCTCCTCCGCGAGCGCATCAGCAGTATCCCACCACTCGCTGTCCCCAGGCAAATGCGGAGACCATTGAGTGAGCAGGAGGCGTACTGACGCCAGCGAGCGGTCCAGGCGGGCGCACAAGCCCTCCCCCGCGTGCGAAACTCGCACCGCCAGGAGATGGTGAGCGCCTTCACCCGAGACCCAATCAACATCATCACGACGCGTGAGAGACAAAAACTCACTGAGCATACCGCACATCCATTGCCAACAGTTAGCCACCAGCGTGCCATCATCGGGCTCCTGTCGGCGATGGACGATAGGCTCCCAGACTGACTGCACGCGAGCTCCTCGCCACCCCGCACGGGTGGTGGGGAGATCGCAAACGTCAAGTAGCTCCTGCTCGGCAGCATTGGCAAAGAGAGACCACACTTCATTCATGAGAGCCCAGGCCTCCTGAGAGGAGCCATGCTCAGACAAAAACTGCAGCTTGGGCAGGAGGCGCTCTGACAACGCCCACGGGGGAGGGGGACGAGGACAGCCGATCGGGAGGTGGGTGGGGATTCGACTGTGACGCCGAAAGACCAACTGACGGACCTGAAGTGCATTAGCGCGCAGCTCAAGCAAAACAGGACGGTGCGGTCTAACATGCCACGTGCTGTCCACAAAGATGCTGGCAGCCAGCGTAGACAGAGCATGCCCTACAACGAAGAAATCAATCGTGGACGTAGACGAACTGGTACGGCAGGTGATTGCAGCAGGCGCCATGATGACGGCCTTGACCTTCTGCACAAAGCCCGTGGCCTCGACGGCGGCAGGTGAGTTGTTCCAATCTGCCGCAATGACCGTGAGCGGAGGCTGGATGATCTTGGCGCCGATCGCGCTGAGCATGGACAGATTCTTCTCACGCATGCCGTCATTGACGTGGAAATAGGCACACACGATGTTGAACGAGAAACCAGGGAGGTCAATGGTAACCTGTATGGCACGATGTGGCACAATAGCCTTGCACGCTGGGTCAGTCCATCGCAAGCCAAACCCATCACGAACAAAAACTCCAACCCCAGCCGAGCACCTCTGCGTCGCGGGGTTGAAGGACGACTCACTGATGAGGAATCGCCAGCCCAGGGCGCGCACCGCGGCCAGGGACTGGGGCGCTGTGAGCTCGGACAAGCCAAGCTCCTGGGCGCACACGATGACACTGGTAGTCGTGGTGAGCCGCTCACGTAGCGTGGACCACCCAGAGCCATTGAAAGTCTCGATGAACTGTGTCGCCGTCGATGTCGGCGGCAACTTCTTCCTGCAAATCGGGGGTATTGGTAGCCTCATACACGACAACGGCAGGCCACAGACCCGCGGGTGTACTGCACCATGGTGAGGATCACCCCCGCCGCTGCTTCTTGGTGACGAGGCCGAGGGACTTGAACAACTCCTGGAGCTCCCGTTTGTCACCAGCAAACTTGGTAGTGGAGATGACCTGGGAGATGCCTTCCTCGTCGACGTCAAGGTACACATCATCATCCTCAGGGACGGGAACCGATTCACCACAGTCGGTGCCCTCATCCCCGACGGTTGGGCCAGCGGCGGCTGCCTGGGCGGCAGCAGCCGCACGCACAGCCTCCTTGAACTTGTCAAAGACAGGCGACTCCACCATGGCCTTGAGGTCGGCGTCGGCCTCCAGCACGGTGGTCGGGAGGTCGGGCAGCACGAAGGAGGTAGCATCACTCCCTTCAGGGCGCAGGTCCTTAGGGCAAGACTCGCGCAGCTCCTCCTGGAGGGTAGCCACCAGGTCCTTGGCGGCCAGCACCTTGGCCCTGAGCTCACGGAGGTGCTCCTCGGCGGCCTCGACGACCTTGACCTGCGCACTGACGTCGGACTCGAGCTTCTGATGGCGCTTGATCGCATCCTGCAGCTTGTGCCCGAGGGTGGTGTGGCGTGCAAGTTGTGGCTTGGCATCATTCCGAGCCTTGCGCGCCGCGGCCAGAGACTGCTCGGCACTGACACGGCTGGGGACGTCAGCGCCCAAGCCAGACTTGGCGAACTGGGCAACGATACCTTCCCAGCGCTGTACCTCAAGATCGAGCGGATCGGGCGGAGGCGCAGGCACGGGAGTGGGCACGGCCTGGGACTTCTGGAGGGCGGCGTACTTGCGCTTGAGCTCGGCGAGCTCACGGGCGATGCCACCATCCACACTGCCTGGCGGTCCTGCCGCCCACGCACTCCCAGCACGGCGGCGACCACCTGCAGCCCCAGGAGCATGAGACGGCCCACCGGCTTCCATCTGCTTGGCCGCCTTGCGCGCCTTGTCTGCGACAGACTGCGGGGCAGGGCGGCCGCATCGGCACCGAATGCGCGATGCATAGTTGGCGGACGCGCCGCAGGACGGGCAGCCCCAGAAGGGGCGGGTCGGTCCTGGCAGCACATCATGAGCGGGACTGGCCATCCACCTGTGCGGGGGTGGATGGGAGCGAAAGAAAAGGCTCGCAGGCGCGCTGCCGCTCCGAAGAATGGCACCTGCAAGGCGCGCGAGAAACCTCGCGAGCCCGAAGCGGCTAGGAGGAGGAGGAGGAGGAGGAGGACGGGGAGGAGGAGGGAGGAGGGAAAAGGGTGTGACCAAGAAAGCCTCACATACTCAGATGTCGCCCCAACATTAGACGGACTGCGCCCAGTGCTACCTTGCCGAGCTCGGCCCCCCCGGTGAGCTGCAGTCTAGTGGAGATGCGAGGTGAGGATCTACTCGTAACAGCCGCCGGAGGCTCGATCTTCCGGGAGCCTCGGCGGGCGATGGATCTGACCACGTCATGCCCCGTTCCCCCCCCCAAAGCCCGCATTTGTCTGTATCCAAGTCTCCCGACGGCAGCGCGGTTCCGCTTTTGACGGCCCCGGGTCTGAAAGCCGTGCCCGCAAGACGAAACAGAAAGTGGCAGCAACACCTTCCCCAACCTCGAAGCTCGAACACTCGACCTGCACCTTCCGCACCTTCCGCGCAGCAGATGCCGCCGCGATGCGGCCGCGGCGGCCGCCGCTGCGGCCTCGACGGCGGCGCGGCATCTGCCGCGCGGAAGGTGAAGGGGTGCGGAAGGTGCAGGCCGAGGGGATGAGCATGAGGGGGAGCTGGTCGTGAGGGACACCAGTGCAGGACCTGGGGGGCCCTCTGCCAGGGCGAGCTTGCCCTCCCGAGTCGCTCTCTGACGGCCTCCCGGGGCACGTGGAGGGCCCCGGGAGCCCGCAAAACGGAGAAAGACCTCGGGCGCCGTTTCCCTCTCCTCCCTCCCCAAACCCCCGACGTCATGGTTTTTTCACGTCGTCGACCCCCAGAGGTCTCAACCCATTCCCCATGAGCCGCTTTTCATCCTGAGTCGTTTTTTCACGGTCCCGAGGACCGGTAAGGGCCCCCCAGAGGCCAAAAGTAACAAAAAGCTTCGTGAATATTTCGTGACTTGAGGGGGTCTGGGCTCCCTGCTGGCCACAACCGGTGATGGGCCACCCCCAGGCCCCCCGAGCCGACTCCGCGCTCTCTCGCAGAGGGGGCTGAGCGAAGAAGGGCTGGAGCGGCCGCTGATCAGGCGCGGGTGTGCCCTGGGGCAGCGCCGTCCTCCTCGTAGAACTGCATGTGCGGCACCTGCGTGGCTCACGAAGGGCGCGAGGAGGGGATGGAAGGGATCCCTCAGAGGGCGCCTCCTCCTCCTCCGCCTCCTCCTCCGCCTCCTCCTCCTCCGCCTCCTCCTATTCCTCCTCCTCCTCCTCTTCCTCCGCCTCCCTCCTCCGCCTCCTCCTGCTCCTCATCGCCTCCTTCCTCCTCCTCCTCCTCCTCCTCCCCTCCTCCTCCTCCTCCTCCTCCTCCTCCCCTCCCCTCCCCCTCCTCCTCCTCCTCCTCCTCCTCCTCCTCCTCCTCCTCCTCCTCCTCCTCCTCCTCCTCCTCGAGCCAAAACGAGCCGGGCCGGAGCCAAAACGAGCCAGGACGCACCGGACCGGAGAAGAAACGGGCCGCGGGACGTCTCCGGCTTCTCGCACGAAGACGGGACGGGCTCGTGAGCCTCAACGGGGCTCGGGATCTTGCCGAGGAGGAGATGTCCCTAGCCCTGTAATGTTCCTATACCGATGGACAGCTCCCGGATCTGGGAATCCACAGAATCCGCCAAACAGATAAAAGGAAGCATGATTCCATCAAACAGGTGAGAACTGCTGCGCTCGAGTGCAAGTCTAGCTCACCGATCGCTGGAGTGATGCGACGTGTGGTCCCCCGCAGAGCTCCAGACAGGCTCGCTTTGGGGCCGTCCGACCATACTGGGCGGGCGGTGGCGGCGCGGCGCCTCCTGCTTCTGGCGGGAGCCCTTCACCTCGACCTTCTCGATCGGCAGGTGGCCGGGCAGGTCGCAGCGGAAGAGGGAGGAGAGGAAGATCACGCCTCCGGTGGCAGGCGGCGCGGCGGAAGGGGGGGGGGGAGGGACCCACGCGGGCGCGAGGAGCTGAGCGCGGGAGCGCCCGGGAAGAGCATGGAGAGAGAGAGGGAGACAGAGACGACAGGGGGGGGGGACAGAGAGGGAGGGCAGGGGCGCGGCGGAGGGGGGGAGGAGGGGAAGTGCGAGAGAAGCAGAGGGGGGGGAGAGGAGAGGGCAGAGGAGGCGTCGTCGCTACTTGGACTGCGCTCGGGCTGAGGATCTCGTCCAACAGGGGGGGAAGAAGAGAGAGGGGTGGGGCAAGCTTCGAGAGACGGCAGAGGTCAACCTTACAGGAAGACATGGGTTCATAGAAAATGGGGCGTTCGCGGCGAACAGATGTCGAGTGAAGTGCTCGCAGTCCTCGCGACGAGGGAGAGGCGTATGTTGAAACGACCTTTGCCTGCGGGATCCATCGGCATCCTTCCGCTGAAGGCGCGCCCAGACTCCAGACGTACGCCTCTCATCCCATTTTCCTCCTTGTAGCAGCGGCAACCGCAACCATGAGGACCTCTTGCACCGACACGTGTTTGCCTAGCACGGGAGTGCACGCGTCAATGGGCTCTTGTTTGCGCAGGGGCTCGTGGGCTGAATGGCCTCCACCAATCTGGGTACCCCGCTCCGGGCTTCGGGTCGGGAACTGTCGCTTAGCGTGTCGCGGCGGCCGCCCTGGTGACGCGCTATGCCTTGTGAGCGGACAACCTCAGGAGGTCTCTCGTTTGAAAGCCCCCCCACCCGCCTGTTCCTCTTGGCGGGGAACAAGCTCGCCCCTATCGTCGTTGTCGTCGTCGTCGTCGTCGCGGTGGCAGCGGAGATCACTTTCCCACTAATTGTCGCCGCGATGGATATTGTTGGGGGGTCCTTTCTCACGGCGAATCATGAGTTTTGGGCATTCACGACAGAGAATTTGTGAGCGCGATGTTAAGATGTTTGTAACATAGAGACAAGTTATTTGTCGAAGGCCTTGCTCATAACCTGCTACCCGTAGTCGCGGTCGCATCCGTAGCCGTAGCGGCACTCGTAATCGTCGTTGCTGCACGGCGGGTGCCGCGGAGACGTCATTCTTTTCCAGTCTCCACGGCGCCCCGGTGCGCCAACACGGTCGCGCCGAAGAGAGCAGCTGGTCCAACTATTTGGGGGGGTCCCGTGACCTATCTGGGAAGCCGGGCAGGGGCTGCTAAATCCGTGGCTGCTAAACTCGACCTCGGGGAAGTCGTCTTCGTCCTTCCGGGAAGAAGCCCGTTAACTGTTTCGCGTGCCGCGCCTCATTCCGGGAAGCTGTTTTTGCCTTCCGGGAGGGCCGTTTTAGCAGCCACGGTTTGAGCAGCCCTCGCCCAGCTTCCGACGATCGAGGCCCGCGTGCCGCTCCGCTCCGCGGAGGAGGCCGGGGGAGCGCTCGGGGCCGTCACCCTGCAGGACGGGGAGGCGGACGGCGCGTCGCGGCGGCGCGCGGTGGGTGCCAAGCCAGCGGCGCGACGCGCCCAGCCACGGCTCCCGGCCGTGGCCCCTCCTGCGCCGGGTGCTCCGCCCTGGGCAGCTCGCCCCGTTCCCCTTCCCACCTCGCGCCGGCCATCTGGGCTCCGGCGTCCTGGGTGGGCTTCGGACGGCGCTGCTGCGGCGCGCGACCATAGTTCCACAACTCCTCTCTCTCTCTCTCTCTATGAACATCTGTCATATATATGACGCAGGATGGCGCTCTCTCTCTCTCTCTCTCTCTCTCTCTCTTTCTCTCTACACATATTTATATATGTTGACATATGTATGCATGTGTACAGGAACCTCTATATGTCGATCTATCTACCTATATATATATATATATATATATATATATAGTCTCCGCCGCCGCGGCCGCCTCCCACCCTTCCCTCCTCAACGACCCCAGCTGCTGCGGCGGGCGAGGAGGGGCGCCCACCTCCTGGCGCCGCTCCAGGAATCGATCACGCCCCTGCTGAGGCACGGCGGGTACCCCAACCACGACGGCGTGCGCGGGTGTGTCTGCTGCCACATTCGAGGCTTCCTAGATTCTAGATGGGGTCCGAGGAGATGGGGCCGAAGGATTGCACATCGGCATCGTCGGCGATGCATCGGCGCCGTCGGCGTGGGGAGAATCGGACTCTACATCACCAAGCCGGATCGCAAATGCATCGGCGATGCGGCGCGATCTTCCGAGCCGATCCGCTCAAACGCCATCTGGATGGCCTCGATATCACGTCGAACCGTTAAACCCCTCCCTCCAGCCTCCAGCGGCTGCGACGGGCAAGATCATCATCATCATCATCATCATCACCACCAACACCACCATCACCATAATAATTACAATAGAAATAATAGTTCTCACCATCAACATCATGTACTCATATTCGACATCATCATCATCATCAACAACAGCATCATCATCATCCTCAGCAGCATCCTCCGAATCATCTTCATAAGCATCCTCCTCATCAGCATTCCCATCATCTTGATCATCATCATCGTCAACATCATCAGCATCATCATCACCACCGTCACCGCATCAGCATCATCATCCTCGTCGCCAGCATCATCAGCAGCAGAAGCAGTATCCTCCTCCTCATCCTCCTCCTCATCATCATCACTATCAGCATCATCATCATCATCATCATCATCATCATCATCATCATCATCATCATCATCATCATCATCACCATCATCAAAACAATAATCAGCATCATCCTCATCATCACCAGAAAACATCATCATCATCATCATCATCATCCGCATCATCATCATCATCATCATCATCATCATCATCATCATCATCAGCATCATCATCATCATCATCATCATCATCATCAGCATCATCCGCATCATCATCATCACCATCCTCATCAGCATCAGCATCATCACCAGCGTCATCCCTCATTCCCTCCTCCTCCCCCTCATCCTCCTCCTCCGCCTCCGCCTCCTCCTCCTCCTCCTCCGCCCCCTCCCCTTCCCCCTCCTCCCCCTCCCCCCCCCTCCCCCCCCCTCTCCTCTTCCACGCCCTCCTGATCCTCTGCCCGCGCCTCTTCCCCCGTCACGCCCCCGCCTGCTCGGGCCGCCCCTGGCCCTCCGGCCGCCCCGGGCCTCTCCCGGCCCCTCCCCGTTCGCGGGGCCGGCCGCCGCCCCCCCGAAGCTCCTGGCCCTGCCCCGACCATCCTCTCGCCGCCGCCGGCCTGCGATGTTGTCGATGGGCGGGGTGCCCGTCAGGCCCCAGCCTCGGCGCTGAGAGGGAATGGAACGGAATGGAACGGAGCGGGATGGTGGGTTCGCGAAGCGCAGACGTGAATTGAAGGTGGGACGATGCCCCTGGCACCGTTGCTCCGACGACGAGAGAAGAGAGCCTCTGGCCAGGGCTATGCGCCCCCCCTGCGCAGCTCTCTGGGGGCGCGGCTCGACGGCGCGCCCGCGGAGCCCGTCTGTTGCCCGCCGCAGCGCCAGGCTCCGGAGGGGGACGGTGTGGAAGTCCCCCCCAGGGAGGACAGTGGGACGCACAAGGACATACTCGTGGAGGCTCCCACAGTGGAGGCGCACGTCCGACCCGAACATGTAGCACCACCATCTTGTAGTATAGATCGTTGCCCGAACAATATATGGCCACGAAGCGCCCGACACGGAGATCATACTTTACGTAGGGATTCTCGATGTGCGCGCCGCCCCTGGGGGGGGGGGCGACGCACACACAGTATGCGTGTGTTGAGGTGACGCCGAGGCCTGGCCTGGAGTAACTAGGCTGGCCGGAGGGGGATCACACAGCGCACCGGGTCCAGACGTGCGATGTCCTGAGTTGTTCCATTTGGGGGTCCTGGGAGCGCGATGATGCCCAGGACTGGCCCCGTCCCGTTCCCCTCCCCCTGCCCGTCGGCCGCAAGAAGTGGGCAGAACCATGCAGCAGGAAGGCGTTGGAGGTAGCTTGTGCCTCCGCCCGCCCCGGGAAGAGGAGGGAAGAGGGAAGACCCCTCGACTCTTGCAGTAGGAACGCGGTCAAGGTACTCCAGATTTTGGAATAAAAGGGAGGGGGTCTGGACCCTCTAAGACAAGCCATTTCAGACCTCCCCCGTGGGAGAACCCTCCAAAATATCGTCCCCAGACCCCCCTAGGCCCTCCAGACCCCCCCCGAAATGAGACCCCCCTCCCTTTATTACGAAATCTGGAGTAGCCTGGGATCTGGGCGCCCCGAAAGTCACCTGACGATTCGCGCCGGCGCCACTCGCAGGCGTCCCCACACGGCGAGTCGTGGCGTGACCGGCTCCCTCGCCGCCTTGCCTTCCCCCCCCTGGGGTCCCGCCCCTTTGATGGGCCTGTTTTCCACCACCACCACCAGAAGTTGGAGGGGGGAAAGGAGGTGGAGGATGAGAAGGAGAAGGAGGAGGAGGAGGAGGAGGAGGAGAAGGAGGCACCCCCTCCCCCTCCAACTTAATGGTGGTGGTGGTGGAAAACATGCCGATCACCCTTGTCGCCAAGGTATGGCGAAAAATGGTCCCTGCCTCCAGGGCGGGTCTTTCTTCCCGAGTCGTTTGTTGATTGATAATCCCCGGGAACCCAGCGGGGCCCCCCCGCGAGGCCGAAAGCGGCCCCCAAGACCTTCCTTGTGATGACTTCTGCACGGCGGCAGGTCTTCTGTGGCAACTCGTGGGGGCCCTTCCCTGGCATCTTGGGCTCTGGGTCGTCGACGCGGACGGACGCCGATCGCCGCGAGTCGATCCTTCCTCGACGCCAGCTATCGACGCTAGCCTGGAGCTGCCTCGTCGAGTGCCAGGCGCTGGCGCACGCCAGTGCACGCCGAAGCCCGAATCAAGAGGACACGCGCGTCTCCCACGAGTTGCTGCCGGACGTCAGGACTTGTGCACGGCGCGTGCGCGCCCGCGCGGGGCAGCGGCAGGGGGGCGCTGGCTCAAGAAGGAGGGGAACATCGACCTGGCATCGGCGACGCATCGCCCCGACAGATCGGCGCTGGGCCCCCGACGGCAAATCTGCCTGTTCCTGGGCGGGGTCAGACGGCTTATCGGCGACGACAGAAAAAGAAGCACCTAGGCCACGCGAACGGCGAGGTTGCTTCACGGTGGTGTCGGGAACCGAACTGTCGGAGATCACGAGCCACACTGTCCCACATCTCCCGTGTGCGCATGTATCGCACGAGACCGACGCAGCGACCTGCAGATAGGCACGAGCCACGCGCTCCCATAATGCCACAACACACATCGCCGTTACCTACATCGCCGTTAGCGCGTCTACGGACGAAGCACCATAAACGTAAACTTTTTGGCGCTCCGCGCGCACTTCTTGGATCTGCGCTGGACACCCCTCCTCTGGCGCGTGGGGCGCCCCTCGGCGCCGCCGGGGGGGGCCCAGCGCGGATCCAAGAATTCGGGGCGGAGCACCACAGAGCTATTCTCTCATGGCCTTTCTTCCGGCCGGGGGTTGATGCATGGCCCCCTGAGCCAATCCCCCTCCTCCTTCTCCTCCTCCTCCTCCTCCTCCTCCTCCTCCTCCTCCTCCTCCTCCTCCTCCTCCTCCTCCTCCTCCTCCTCCTCCTCCTCCTCCTCCTCCCCCTCTGTCCCCTCTGTCTCTGCCCCGCGAGCACCTTTCCGAGCCACAAGAGTCGGCTCTCTCCGGCGGCCCTTCGGGGCGGCCCGCGGGCATCTCCGGAGCGCCCCCTCGGCGAGGCGCGCAGCCGCCGGAGAGGCTCCCCTATGGGGCCGGAGCGGCGCCGAGCAGCGGCGGGACCGCCGGGAAGCCCTCGAGCCTCGGAGCTTCGCCCCCCCTTATAAGTATAGGGGGCCACATGCGAACCCGACCCCTGCCCCCCACGATTTCTGAGGGGGAGGGTGGGGTTCACTTCGTTCGGGAGCTCCCGAGCGGAGTGAACCACCCCCTCCCCCTCAGAAATCGTTCGTAGGGGTAGGGTTCGCACGTGGCCCCCTATAGCCCCCCCCCTCCCCGCGGGAGCCTCTTCCTCCCCCCCTTCGCGTCGCCCCTGTGGCTGGGGCGTCCGCGCAGGGCGGCCCTGCGAGAGGCCCCCAGGAGGGCCCAGGATCGAATCGATGGATGAGTCGGATCAGCTATCGAAAGGAATCGGGTCGGCGGAAGTCGGACGCCGAGCCGGGAAAAGTCGAATCGGCGAAAATCGGCAGGAGAATACGCCTCCATTAATTCAGCAGGGACCAGCCGTCCCGGCATTCCTATAGGCCTACCACGAGATGCTCTCAGAGCCTAGAAATGTTCTAAGAACGAAAACAATGTGTTTAGAACATAAGCCCAAAGTGTTGAAACAAAACAACATCGGCCAGAAATGATAATTTCTGGCCGATGTTGTTCTGTTTCAACACATCGGGCTCATGTTCTAAACACATTGCTTTGTTCTTAGAGCATTCCTAGGCTCGAAGAGCATTTCGTGGTAGGCCTAGAGGCACGCCAGGACGCTTCGTCACCGCTTGAGAAATCGGAGCCGCAATCGGAAGCCCAAATCGAATCGAGCCGAGAAGACGTCGAGATCGACTTGGATCGAGCCGGAGGAAAATCGAAACGAGCCCTGCCTGGGACGTCCGCGCAGGGCGGCCCTGCGAGGGCCCCCTAATATCGGCGACCGCAGCGCGACCTCCGGGCCCGCCCCTGTGGCGAAGAGCTCGTGGAGGCCAGGCCCTCTGGGCGAGCCGCCCCCCGGCAGGCCGCCGCCATGGGAAGGGCCACGCCACACTCTTTCGCGCTGCCCCCCTCCATGGTAGGGTCCGACGTTCCACCGCCGCTGCTCCATATAGGTGGGACGGGGGAAGATGGAGGATGGGGAGGTCCTCCTCTTCCTCCTCCTCCTCCTCCTCCTCCTCTGCCTTTTTCTCCTCCTCCTCCTCCTCATCATCATCATCATCCTCCTGCTCCTCCTCCTCCTCCTCCTTCTCCTCCTACCTCTGGTAGCCGTGGTGGAAGGTCGGCTCCTCACTCCAGGCCTCCACTCGTGCAGAGGAGCGGTACATCCGCGTGTTGTTTCAATTGCTCGAGTTTCTGGCGGTACCCTTGTAGCACAGCCTGCTCCACAGCCTGCTTGCAGAGGTGACCAGCGATCTCTATATGCTGGGGCGGGGCGCGTGTACTCCACCGTCGCTGCGAGGCGGATGGCTTGCCTGGCGGTTGCGGACCATGCCAGTGTTCAGTCTCTGGGAGCCCTTGCAGGGCATCGGGGCTGTCAGCGACGAGTCAGGATGAACACGGCGGTCCCGCGGAATACGTGGCGACGTCCGGATCCGACCCCCACCCACCATGGATCCTCCTGAATCGATGGGAGGCGGGGGTAGGGATCGGATCTCGCCACGTGCTCCACGAATTCCGCACCTTCCCCTGCCGCCCGCTTACTTGTCAGAACCACTGATCGGCGAGGGGGGTAGGGCTCGGATTTCGCCGCCAGGGGTTTGTGATTAGGAAGTAGAGGATCCCTAACCGTCTGGGAGAAGACCTAAGTCAGGAGGGCCAGAATCATCAGGGATAGGAGGTCTGCTCTGCAGGCGTGTCGAACCAAGCCGCCCACACACATATATATATATATATATATTATAACTACAATGCAAAGACGGGAACCCAAAGTGGACAACTGCCGCCTGTATCGGCGGGATAAAAACAGAGCCGGGGACTGGCCGTAGAAGGCAGAGGGCGGCGGGGGGGGGGTTCGGGGACCGCGCCCCCGTCGGCAGCGGGGGCCCTCCCCCTTGGGGTGGGTTGGGGGGACCTCTGCGAGGCTGCGTCTTCATCGCGTCATTGGGGTTAGGGGCTCCGTGATCCTCGATGGGCATATTGGTGGAGCACTCGGGGGGCCGCGCACAAACACACGGCGCACAGCGGGCCCCACGGGGGCCTCTGGCCGCGGGGGACCCGAGAGAGGGAGAGAGACAGAGAGAGACAGAGAGAGAGAGAGAGCGCGATCACGCGAGCGTCGAGCAGCACCAACGAGCGAGGCCCGAGGAGCATCGCGAGAGGCTCCCTCGAGCAGCGCGAGGCTCTCGAGAGCCTCCAGGAGAGACCGAGGCTCGAGCGAGAGGCCCCGAGCCTCGGAGGGCATCTCGAGGAGGCGCCAGGCCCCGTCGGGCATGGGCCTGCTTTCCACCACCACCACCACCACCACCACCATCAGTTGGAGGGGGGAAGGAGGTGGCGGACGAGGAGGAGGACGAGGAGGAGGACGAGGAGGAGGAGGAGGGGAAGGAGGACGAGGAGGAGGAGGACGAGGAGGAGGAGGAGGAGGAGGACGATGAAGGAGTGACCAGGAGTGACCGATGGGGAACCCGTCCCAGGAAGGGAAACCGCCGACCTCGGAGACCGTGCCTCCAGAGGGTCGCAGCCCGGGTCTCCAGTTGGAGGGGGGAAAGATCCTTCGTGGCGGACGAGACGGAGGAGGAGGAGGAGAAGGAGGAGGAGGAGGAGGAGGGGGAGGAGGAGGAGGGGAGGGGGAGGAGGGAAGGAGGAGGAGGGGGAGGAGGGAGGAGGGGGATCTCTACGAGAAGGAGAGAGGAGGAGGAGGAGGGGAAGGACCCTTCGTGGCGGACGAGAAGGAGGAGGGAGGAGGGAGGAGGAGGAGGAGGAGGAGGAGGAGACGGAGGAGGAGGGGAGGCGGAGGAGGAGGAGGAGGAGGAGGAGGAGGAGGAGGAGGAGGAGGAGGAGGAGGAGAAGGAGGACACTCTCCCCCTCCAACTTTTGGTGGTGGTGGTTGACAACAGGCCCACCAGTCGAGCGTCCGGAGGCGCCGGGGCTCGATGGGCGTGCGAGCGGGCCGGCCAGCGCGCGCCCGCTGGGAGGGGCCGCCGCGGGGCGGCGAAGCTCGATCGGGGCGCGAGCGGGCCGCGCCGAGGCCCCGGCGGCTGTGCGCCCGGAGGTGTTGCAGGACGCTCTGCTGGGCGCTCTGGAAGCTCTCCTCGGTTGGGCACACAGTCCCCCTCGAGTCCTGACAAAAATCACAGCGGGATTTTTGTTCGCTAGGGTCCGCCTCGGGGGGCCCTTGCCGGGCCCCGGGGCCGTGAAAAAACCGCTCAGGATGAAAAGCCAGTCCCAGGGGATGGGTCAAGACCTCTGGGGGTCGACGTCGTGAACAAATCATGACGCCAGGGGTCTGGGCAGGGACCGACCGTCCCGGCGTTCCTATAGGCATACCACGACATGTGCTGAGGACCCGGAAATGTTCAAAGAACAGGAGCAAGGTTCTGAGAACATAAGCCCAGTGTGCGACAATAGGACAGTCTCAGCCAGCAGTGTTCTAAGAACGTTCCGTGCAGGCCACACAAGCTTCTTGGAACACTCTTCGGTGGGCCTCGCGGCAAGCCGGGGCGCCGCGCCGCTGCTCGACCCGCTGGGCGCGGCTCTCGCGCCCCGCGCCCCGCGAGGCCCAGGCACCTCCAGCCCCTCGGGCAGGAGTCGAGGCGGAGGTCCTTCGCATCGCTCTGCGGCCCCTCGGGGCCCTCCCTATGGGCCTCGGGGCCGCCCGGAGAGCGCCTCGGGAGGAACGGCTGGCCGTGGGGCAGCGGCCGGAGAGGCCCACGGCCCGCTCTGTGGCAAACCATCGGAGCCGCCAGTGTCGTCTTGCTGGCTCTTGCGGCTGGGCGCCGAGCACACTCAGCGACGCTGCTCGACGCTCAGCGGTGCGGAGCCGACGCCCATCGGCGCTGCATCGGCGCTGGCCGACGCCGAATCGGCGCTTTCCCATCGACTGCCAGACACTGACGCACGCTCATGCACTCCGAAAACGGAACTGCCAGGGCACACTTGTTCCGTCGGCGGCGAGGCAGAGGCAGTCCGCACCAGCGTGGGGCGAACCGGGGCCACCGACAGGCGAACTGTCCGGCGTGCCCGAGGAGGGAACGCAGACGAGGGCGGCCGCGCGAGGGGAGCAGGGGGGGGGGGAGAAGCGCTCGGGCGTGGAGGAGCTCCGCACAGTGCCAGGGCACGCGAGGTGCTTCCATGACTTCCGGCGATGGACAACCCTCCCTTCAGCAAACCACCCTTTGGTGCAAGCGGCCTGCAGGACCGAAACCGGCGGACCCGGACCCGAAGAAGTGACGGCCGCGGCGCCCCCTCGCGAACCGAACACGGCCCGTGCGCGACTCCGCGCGTCAGGGTAGGAGGCCTGTCCACCCCCGGGACTTGCCAGACCGCACGGGGGGGGGGGGCCCGCGCCTCGAGGGGCTCGGGGCGCCGCACCTCGTCTGGGGCGCGGCCCCCGCCGCCACTCGAGGGGCGGCCGCGCCCGGCCAACCCCCGGGGGCCGCGCGGGCGGCACGGGGGGGCGCTCCTCCGACGAGGCCTCCGAGGGCCAAGGCAGGAGAGCCCCGAGTCGAGCCCTGGCTCGACGGCCAAGGCTCGAGGGCGAGCACGGGGGGGAAGGGAAGAGGAGAAGGCCGTCTCGGGAGGCGGCGGGACCTCTCAGGAGGCCTCCGGCCTTCTGAGAGGTGCTCTGCGTCTGCGGGGAAGGCCCAGAGAACTCCTCAGAAGGCCAGGGGACCACCGAGCCTTCCGAGGAGGCCCACCCCTTCTCACTTCCCCCCCTCGCTCGCCGCCGAAAGGCAGGAGAGTCCTGCATCGAGTCGATATGGTTGGACACTGTTGGATCGCGTAAGTCGCCCTGGCAGCCCTGGCGACACGCACATGTTAGGTCGGGCATGTCCTCCTACAGGGGGATTCTGGACGAAAATTTCAAAATGGTCAAACAGTACCAAGGATGTCAAACAACAATCAACAAACCGTCCCCTGACTATTTTTTACAACTTTTGAAGATTTCTCCTGCAGAGGGACACGCCCGACTTAACGCTACTTTCTCCCTGCCAGCGGCGATCGTGCCACTCCGCTCCGCGGGGCGGGAGGCTCGGGGGAAGGCCCCGGGACGTGGAGGGCTGGGGACTGAGAAGTGGATATAGCGCGTCGCGCCGAAGCAGGGAGGAGGAGGAGGAGGAAGAGGAGGAGGAGAAGGAGGAGGAGGAGGAAGAAGAGGAGGGAGGAGGGAGGGAGGCGGGGAGTAGGAGAAGGAGGGAGAAGGGAGGAGGAGGGAGGAGGCAGGAGGCAGGAGGCAGGAGGGAGGAGGAGGAGGAGGAGGAGGAGGAGGAGGAGGAGGAGGAGGAGGAGGAGGAGGAGGAGGAAGAGGAGGAGGAGGAGGAGGAGGAGGAGGAGGAGGAGGAGGAGGAGGGAGAAGGACCCAAGTCCCGCGCCTGCGGAACCTGTCCGTCAGGCTTCTACGTCTACGTCCGCCCTATACAAAGCATGGCAGCGCAAGGCCACCGAGCGAAAGCCTGGCCTCTGGCAAGTGAGCTCACGCGCCACGTCCGCAAATGGGGGGCAGACCCGGGAGGCGGGGCAGGGGCTCGACCCGCTGGTTGCACCGCACTGCCGCGAGCAGGTGCCCAAACCGCATGCCCCACCCACGGGCAACGGTCGGGAGCTGCCGGCGGCTGGGGGGCGTCTGCTCTGAGCGGCTCGGTGCTCACACCCATCGAACACATACACTTTGGGCGTCGGCGGCTGGGCAGAGGGCGACTGCTCCGGCGGAAAGGCAACACACACACACACACACACAAACACACACTTTTTTTTGGGTCGCGGGCAGACGCGTGAAGCAGTCGCCGAGAGGGGGTCTGGGACACGGGCCAGGGCAACACACACACACACACACACACGCGCACACACACAAACCCTGGGCCCTCTGACCCTCCCTTTGCGGGCTCCCGAGCATGGTGGGTCAGGACCGACGGGGCGGCCCTCTATCCCGAAGTTTCTGACCGTGCTTCGGATCGGCCATCGGAGGCACATCGGCGGCAGTCGACAGCCAAGTCGGGAGGAGAGCTCGAGTCGACGGAAAGTGGCAAGCCCTGAAGGCCTCTATAGAGGAATCCGCATCCACGTCGGAATCCGAAGTCGAATACATTCGGAATCGCAATCGAGCGAGATCGAATCGAGTCGAGGCGGAGGAATCGGAACGAGCCCTGCTGAGGCTACAGTTCGAGGTCTTCGGGAGCTCGGGCGCCCATACGTCGGCGCTGTGCTGTCCTCTGGGCCCTGTGGAAGACGAGGCTGGGGCCAGGACAGCATCGGACCGGGACACATCGAGGATCTCTCCCTAGTCTTCCCCCTCCTCTTCAATCCCTTTTCCTTTTATGTATATATATTTCCCCCTGTAGAACTCCCAGACGTTTCGGTCGGGCGGGCTGGACGTGTCGCTTCGGACTTCCTCACCATTTCTCTGCAGCAGCTTCCAGGACGGAAGGTGGGTCGTTTTGCGCATGTAGTTCTCGCCTGAGCGCTTCGCACATTCGTCTCAAAATTGTGAAAGAGTTACCCGGATGGAGGGCGGCCGGTGTTCAAGCTGTGGCTCTCGCCTTAGCGCCGCGTGCATTCGTCGCAGAAGTTTGCAACAGCTTCAAGGATGGAGGGCGGATTGTTTTCAGAATGTGGCTCCCGCCTCAGTGCTGCGCACATTCGTCATTTACAGTATAGCGGCAGTTTCAAACATGAATGGCGGCTCCTATTCACGATGTGCCTCTCGCCTGAGCGCCGCGCATGTTCGTCTTGATAGCTTGAGCAGTTGCCAGGGTTCATATTGTCGAAGTCCCAGGAAGGGTGTTCTGGCACGAGTAAGGATGCTCACGGCACAACAGTCACGATGCATCGCTGCGTTGGATTCCCAAGAATGGCGTTCTGGCACGACTTCGGACTGTTAGGGCGCCCCAATCAAAGTTGATCCGCGGCTCTGGAGTCCCAGGAACGGCCCTCTGGCAAGATTCAAGATTCTCAGACGGATGCCTTCCAATGGGGCACTCCCCGCAATGAGAACCAATTCTTGTGGCGGAAAAGCAGAGATAACTTGGAGTGAGGGTGTACTGCAACATCGTTGATGAGCCTTGGGCGTACACCGTACACTGGTCCTCCTCCTCCTCCTCCTCCTCCTCCTCCTCCTCCTCCTCCTCCTCCTCCTCCTCGTTCTCGTCCTCGTCCTCGTCCTCGTCCTCGTCCTCCTCCTCCTCCTCCTCCTCCTCCTCCTCATCCTGTTGCCCTGATTCGCAGGCGCACTGGATGCGAACGCTTGAATTCAAACTCCTCGCGCCTACGCGCCAGACGGCGTATACGCGCCCCCGTGCCCGCGCCCGCGCCCGTGCTCGTGCTCGTGCTCTGAGATCCGGCCGCCCTGGAGGATGCAGCGGACACCGTGGCCATGCCCGAGCGCTCCCGGACGCTCTGAGAGCGTCGCTGGACGCCCTGGGAAAGCGACGGGCCCCGGCCCTGGGCCCGCCCGACGCCCGCCGCGCCCTTGCCGCCGCATCCGACAGCTCCCAGGGCTCCCCACGTCGCGCTTCGCGCTGCGCAGAAGCGCGACGCACGAACAACTGCGCGCTCTCGCGCCGCCTCCCAGGGGAGAGGAGGAGGACGAGGAGGGTTCGGAGCCGAACCGCGAAAAGCGCGAAGCGCGAAGAACTTCGCGCCCTCGATGGGCGCCCTGGAAGCTCTGGCCAGGACGCCGCCCTGGAGGGGCCGGGGAAGGATGTCCCGCGCCCTCGCCGACCGGGCGAGGAGACGCGCGCGAGGGCTGCCCTCGCCGCCGCATCGGAAGCGCTGGCCGGGACGCAGCCCTGGAGACCAGTCGGGCCTGTCCTCCTACAGGGGGATTCTGGACGAAATGAAAAAAAAAAAGTGCCCCAAAATTCTCCAAAATGGGCAAACAATATTCCATAAAAATAGTCCCAGACTATTTTCTGACTATGTTTGAACAGTCCCCCTGTAGAGGGACAGGCCCGACTCAGCCCTGGGGGGGCCCGGGGAAGGGCGCCCCGCGCCCTCGCCGACCCGGGCGGGGAGACGCGCGCGCAAGGCGGGCCCCGGGCCTCGAGGAGGAGGCCAGGCGGGGCGGCGGCTCCGAGAGTCCGGGGCGGTGGGAGG